CTCAGCATCCTTTGTCCCGTGCACAAAAAAGGAGACAATACGATATCTACCAACTATAGAGGAATAAGTTTCCTTCCTATCGCATATAATGTGCTACCCAGCGTGCTGTGTGAACTACTGACATTATTGGACCATACCAATACGGCTTCAGACCTGGCAAATCCACCATTGACCAGATTTTCACTCTGCGCCAAATCCTTGAAAAGACCCACGAAAAACACATCGACACATTCCACCTATTAGTCGACTATAAAGGCGCATTCTACAGCCCTATCCCTTCAGAGTAGGATTTAAAGCCATGTCTGCGTTCGGCATTTCGGCTATGCAGGATAACTTTGAGTGGCACAAGGTCAGCAGTTAAAGTCAAAAAGTACCTCTCGAAGCCATTCAATACCGAACGAGGATTCAGATAAGGTGACAGTTTGTCGTGTGACCTGTTTAACATCCTGCTGGAAAAGGTCATTCGAGATGCAAATGTGAACAGAAATCGCCTACGCCGATAACATCGACATAATGGGTCGAACATTGAGAGCGGTAACGGTAACAGCCACCTTTAAACAAATTGAGAAGGAGTCTGCCAATGTGGGTCTGGCAGTAAACGGCAGAAGACCAAGCCAAGCGCAAAACGTCCAGTAAACTCGGACCGACTGTGAACTTGAGAACTACAGCCCCAAGGTAGTCAAAGTTTGTATATACCTTGGTACCGCTATAAATAAAACGGTGAATGCACAACTCCCAATAATAACGAGGAATGGATAATCCATAGTGGTCTTCATTTAAATATTCGCAGTTGCTCTTGGGCCACATCAGCATATATTGTGTTCAGCATAAAATTCAGAAAATAATTCGTTCTATATACATTTCCTTCGGCTTATTTAATGCAATTAGTAAGATTTCCTCTATTTTCCTATAACATTATTTTATCAGTTAATTATTGAGTTCCGCTCAGTTTCATATACTTGATTTAATAATTTTTAATACTGATTTTCTAGCTTTGTGTGAACCTCATACCCTCTTTATTATTACAAGTCTCCATTCTGTGTGGAAATTGTGTGTCCGCAAGGTATTAATAACATCACCCTCTCACTCGTTCCATGTTTAACATAGAAAAAACAAAAACAAATTAAATATACTAAATAAAGCAATTAAAATTATTGTTGGCATTGGCATGAACTGGCGGGCGAATGGACAGATAGACAGCCAGACAAATATATCTAATTGGCTAAATAAAATTTATCATAACTGAGAGCCAGCAAATTAATTAGAAATAATTTAATAATTTCAAAATATGTATGGCTAAATAAAAATGCATTTTGCATTTGTGGGGTAGAAAGGAAAACAATGACATTTAAGGCAAAAATACGGAAATACGTAATAAATTGCAGCCAATTTGGTTGAAAAAGGTCTCCAAAATACCCAATATTGGGAGGCACCGTTGTATGGAAGCGACTCTAAGAAATCGACCAATATGTCCCATTTCCAATACCAAACATCCTAGGTACAGGAAAACATGTGTAAAAATTTCAACGTTTCGTCAATATTGTGAGCTATATCGCGATTTCGCCAGACACCATTTTATTCTGATCAATAACACTGTGCAACACAAAAAATATAATCGAGAAATTCCAAAATATTATGATAGAGTGACTAAAAATAGAAGATACGTGTATATATTACCCATTCTATACTCTGCAGCAATAGATGACACTTTGATGATCTCTTCTATGTAAGATCCTTGTAAAGGGCCGCTTTGTAGAGTTATCTGGATGTAGACTTAGATGCGGTTTTAAAGGTTTGTGTGTCTAAATAGATCATTAAGCTCGACTCGAAAGAGTATAAATAACTCATCATTTCAAATATTAAAAAAATTCCCGATAATTATAAAAAACTGAAAATTTTCGAAGTGTCTTCTTATATCGACTTTTTGGAAGGATGTTATCCTAAAGAAGACCTCCTGTGGGGTTTTTTTTTAGCTATGTAGGGTTCTCCAGTATATATAGGACTGTCTTCTGGCTCTGCATGACCTTTGTAAGAATATGTTTGCTATCGAAGACGTCTTTCAAGCGTCTTGCCTTCTTCCATAAAATATCTTTTTGGAGGTTCCCTTGCCTTCAGAAGACCCTTGTACTGCTTTATGGTCACGGATGCGTTTTTTAAGATTTTTAAGCAATATTCTTAGTCGTATTCTATAGAAGATCCTTTTGAAAGCTCTTCTGGCCATTGAGAACCTTTGGAAGTTCTCCTGTATATTTAGTATGTCATTTCACTATCGAATACCCTTTGAAACTTCCTGTGGCAACAAAATGTCATTGAAAGGTCCCCTCATACATGTCTGGTATGTTAAAGGCTCTTTGGATGGGTTTGATCTATATAAGATCCATTGCGGAACATATAGATGTCCCTTTGAAATTTGTCATTATTTTCAGAATGTTTTGCGTGAAAACAAAACTGTAAACCCGAACAACAATCCACACAATAATAAAGTGCATAAAATTTGAATTTGATTATAAAGCGGAAATAAAAAACTAAAATAAATCACGTTTTACGGTGCGTTTCAACAACCGCACTTTTAAACATTCATTTATAAATAAATTAAGCCAGGTCGTGGCAAAGAGAGAGAGAGAGGCGAAAACCCAGCGAAACAGCAGAAATACAATCTCTATTAAACCAAACAAATCGAACAGATTGGGTGGCTGGCTCTAACCAGCCATTTCGTGAACTCTCCCCAAACAGAAATGCATGAGAGAGAGGAACGAACGCGAACCAACGAGAAACGTGCAACATTTGTATTATACAAAAACAAAAATACACATAAAAATCAACACACAAAACAAAGGCCTACCAACAATCGAACGAACGAACGGACGGATGCAACCAAGAGTCAGATACTCATACACAACAGATACAAAACTCAAACCAACTTTCAAACAGCATCAATGAACACACTCAGAGCGGGAGAGAGTATCTGAGATACATTTAATCTCGTTTGTTTGTTTCTTCAAACACACTACAAACAATACATACCTACATTTGTCGTTTTGTTTATACACGTGCAGTATGATGGTGGTGGACCAACTGCAACAACAACCACAACACTAACTACTACTACGGCGGCTGATATTCGAATGCAATATTACTTCTCAATTCTGAATGGTGGTGATAACTCAAAAGATAGCTACAATCGAATCGTCAGTTAGACTGTCAAACAGACGGAATGAATGAATGAACATACAGACAAACGTACAAGCGAACGAGCGTACAGATTTGCTGAAACTCAGACTGAATTATGATACTTTGGTGGATAGAGCTAAGCATCGTAAATGAATAATGCAACTCAAATCGTCAACGCTTTAGACGACAATATAGGATTCTGTTTACAAAGGGACGTGGTAAACAAAGTCGGGCTGTTAACAACTAGAAGTCATAGACTAACCTGTACCGCACACTTTTTTGGTATGAAATTTATTTCGTAGAGTGGAAACTCAGGTAGTATGGAATGGAAAATGAGGTCTATGTATTTGGGTATATATAATACGCCCTGAGGTGGTTTTTTCTCAGGATTATAGTAAAACTTTATAGAGAACATTTTTCTAGAATATTCTGACCTGTTATAACGCCATTGTAAACGAGTTTTCAATCATTTCTGGAGACGGGGACCGAAAATACCCCTTCAGCGTGTTGATTGAGGGTTAACGACAAAAATATTCCTCACATTTTTATCAGTAATTTTGCCAAATACACCATATATCTAAAATGCAAAGGGTTTCGAAAAATCCTCTTCCGAATATTTTCAAATGTTTTTCAAATGGAAAATATTGCCACAACTTTTTAGGTTACCTCCCGACTTAAATGTTCAAAATGTCGATAGACGTGTCTGCTCTTTTTAGCACCTTATCATAATTTTTTGCACCTTATCATAATGTTTTGTGTTGCGCCGTATAAGCGAAGAACTTCGTAGGGGCCTGGCATAGAGCATAATCTTTGTAACAACGACAGCAGGCACTGAATAACGTATTTTTTTATAGCCAGAGGAAGGGTTCCCAAGGATTCGAATATAAGTAGAAGACCCATTTTCCCAAGCGTTCTAATATAGATTGAAAACCCTTCCAATGTTTTTCTATAGCCAAAAGACTTTTTTACTAGGTCGTTGAAAAGCAGGCGCTACATAGGCATCTTTCATGAAAAGGAGACCTGAAAAGGACGTTCTATAAGAGTATCACAATGCTGTCTTTATAGATAGAAGAACTTTGAATTTTTATGATTGTTGATGTAGTGCGAAATGCTGAAGAATCCAGTTTTATAAGTTCCTTGTTTAGAACTGTGTATGCATGCAGACAGGAGCCTTAAGGCAAATAAAGGACAGCCGGTACATTATTAGCAACTCTTATTGGGTCCCTAAAATCCATGAAAATTATCCGGAATGCTATTGGACAAAAAAATCTTCATTGTATATTCCATTGCTGGAACCATATTCACGAATGAGCTTCGCTTCCATCTCGATGGAAGCAGAATTGTCACATCTGCGGCTCCGAAAACAAAGGAGTTATTTTTGAGAAACCTGTTCATCCTCAACAGCTTGTGATTTTTGTGGAGGCGGGACCCAATAAGAATTTTGAAAGAATGTTCTATAAGAAGAATAACCTTTAAACTTTTTTCTGCGAAAAGACGATCTCCTAACGTTATCCTGTGGACATCTGTTGAGATTAGATGCCCTAAAGTCATATCTAGACATAAGACCCCGCAAAGGGGCTGATTCATACAGAATATAGTTCACAGATAGTATATTTTTCCAAGGGATTCTTTGTAAACAGTATTCCTTTTAAAGGAACTCCAACACGCAGAAGTCCTTTTGAAGGATTATAGATAGAGGGCCAACAAATCAAGATCTAATTTTTTTTCTTCGGCAAAACAATCTCTTCATTATCGATCAACTATTTTCAATTTTCGAAAAAATAAATTTTAAGTAAAAAAATATAAAAAAAAATCATCTTTACACTTACCACATGTACACTGCTTTGCAGATTACTGGACAACATTGTTGTGGCACTCTCTGTGGGCTTCTTTTCCGTCTTTTTGGCCGTTCGTTTATTCTTGCTCTCGAGGAAACGTTTCTGCAGTGCACTCGTCTCATGATTCTGCGCCTCGCACACTGTGCTGAAGGTCTGTTCATAGCGTGGCACACAATCGGTTTGACGACGTCGATAGCTTTCCATGCGGCGCCGTAAACGTTCGAACATCTGTTGGCGTTTCGGGGGCACAATGTCACCACCGAGCAATCCACCGCCTTGGGGTGAAGGCACGGCATTGAGACCGTTGTTGCCCCCCTGGGACTGCTGTTGTTGTTGCTGCTGCTGTTGTTGTTGTTGTGAGGGCATGCCCGCGTTTGTGTTTGTTTGGCCAGAGCCGCCAGTTCCGTTGCCGCCAGGTCCAAGGCCGCCGCCAATTGTACATCCTGGACTGGAATTTGTTGCAGCATTTGCTTGATGATAGGGCGAACGTTGCGTCTGCTGTTGCACCTGGATCTGCTGTTGCTGTTGCACATTGTGAACGTGTTGTTGCTGTGATGCCTGTAACTGTTGTTGCTGTTGCAAGTGCAGGCTAATGTTCTGATGCTGTTGCAATTGCTGTTGATGATGTTGCAAATGTTGTTGTTGCTGCAATTGAATATTCAATTGATGTTGCTGGTGCTGCTGTTGTTGGTGACGTTGTTGTTGTTGCTGCTGTTGTTGTTGGGCGGCTGCCTGATTGGCGCTCTGGTACACTGGAAGACCTCCTGCATCCATAAAGAACAAATTTTACTCAACTTTTGTTGCCGTTGCTGCTGCAGGTTTTGTAATTGGGCGCCAACTATTTATGGAATTTTTCTCTTTTCAATTCTGCCAAAACTTCGCCGTGGCGTAAAAACGAAGTTAGGCTGTTTAATTTAGTTTTCTTGTTTTGTTTGTTAATTGTAATTTAAAATTATAAATAATTTTATAATTATTTGAAGTATATTAAGGATTTTTGTTTCTTTTTTTTAATACTCTAGGGTGTCTTTGGGCAAGTTTTTTTGTTTGTTTTTTACGTTGTTGCTGTGGATAATTTTAAGTTTCTTAAGATTGCTTAGCTCTTTAGTAGGCCGTCATTTATTGCTTAGACTTTGTCTGTTTTAGTTTTGTCTTTTGTTTTCCTTCCTTAATCCATTTTAGCCACTTATTTGACTAATAGGGCGTCTTAGTTTTTTATATTTAGACGTTAGATTATTTATTTACATTTGTCTCTATACATGAGCATAATAGTAGTATTGTACAATGGGAAGCCATTTTGTTGATATCTGAAAAATAATACAAATTAAATGAAAATTAAATAATGAAAAAAATTGTTTCATAAACATATGAGCGATCTATAGAAGACGTAACAAGTAAACAATGTGTCAGTAGGTATTGTATTTGGCATTTTTTTCGAAATAATTTGGAAAGGAAATATGCGAATTTTATAACACCAATGCAGATATCAGTAACAGTATCTGAAGTAAAGAAACAATGGAATGCAAAACTAACCACAATCGAGTGACTGGAAATAGCGCGCGGTTGTAAACAAGAGAAACAGAAGACAAACAAACGATTGCAAAAGTAACAACCACCAAATGAGGGGAGAGACAGAGGACGATAACAAAACAAAACACAGCGGAACAATAAATGGTAGTGGCTTTTTTCATGTGAAGAATACATTTGTTTCTATCAAAAGACAGAGAGAGAGAGGAAAAAGTGAGCGCAAATAGTGGCAAAGTAGAGCGAAGTATGAAACTTGTTTTGATATTAATGAAATGTTTAAATTTTTTGGAAACAAATTGTGGCTTTCTCCTGATTTTAAGAATTTTTACTTGTGCAAATGGTAAAAATAAACAATAAATGTAATTATAAAAATATTCATTAGCATTTTTTCGTGTCGAAAGCAAAAGAAATATTAATTTAAGTTTTAAAATATATAACACTGAGTGGATCAACTACAATATTACAACTTTTTTCAAATAGAGCCGCAAGTTTTCTAAAGAGTTAACACATTAAGGACTGCAAAGGAATCTGCAAGGCATACGGCTGGGACAGCACGTTTTTGGACAAACTTGTACGTTCGTGCACCTCCAGGGGAAGGGTTCGGCAGATCTTTGCGTTTGTGTATTTATACAGTTTTTCGTAGCTTGTCCATCCGTAATGTGTTAAGGTCTTTGGCAGGGTTACCGTTGTGCGACTAATGTTGCAATTTGCAACCTTTTTCATGTCCTGTAACTCTGTTTGCAACATTTTAAGCGGTTTGCGACTTTTCTTTCCTGTTGTTGTTAAGTTGCATTTTTGTGCAACTTTTTAAAAATTTCCAGCGGTAACACTGGTCTGTGGGACTTTGGTCTGACGCATCCTTATAAATTTTAAAATGTGGCTTGTTGTCCCTGATGAACCCAAAGTTAATGTCTAAATATTGTTGCACGTCCATCGTCGTTTCTCCTTCTTTGTGGAAAGTTTGATGGTTAGCATAATTTTTCTAATAATTGTGCGCTAAGTACGCTTATTAATTTCGATTTTCTACATTGTATAACTATATAACTGAAGACATTTCCGACAATTTGATCACACTTTTCCCCAACAAACAGTTGTAATATATCAACAGGATTACATCATAGAATAACCTTTTTCCTGTCATTTTTTATAAAGCAAAGTAAAAAGAGACTTTTTTACACTTTACGCGTAAGTTTGCTCATTTGGATAGCCATCATGAGAATTTCAGACCATGGGACGCCACGATTGCCGAGACGAAGTTAGTTCTTCACCTTGCTGAACTAGGAAATCTCAAAGGAAAATAGCCGAAATACTTAATATTACTCGATCTGCTGTCCAAAAAAGTATATTGAGGCACAAATCCTAGAATCGAATTTACAAAATCAGAAAAGCAAATAGCCGAGAAAAAATATTCAACAAAAGAGACGAAAAGTAGTTGCTCCGAAAAGTGGCCGATAATCCAAATCTAGGTGCACCTAATGTTGCTGAAATCGCAGAGAATTGTCTGAAAAGAAGTTTCAGATAATTCTCTGCGATTTTTGGGTAAGCATGGTCTTCATGGTATAGTTGCACTGAAAAAAAAAACATTCATAAACCAAAAAAACGGAAGTTCGTTCAAGAACAAAAACAGGATTTTACTTTTGGAAATCTGTTTCTGATTTAACTTGTTTGGGTTGGATGGATGAAGTAAGGTATGGCGCAGGACGAATAAAACCGTGGACGGTAAAGCACTGAGGAGCCTCTGTAATGGTTATCAATTTCATATTTTCCAAACTGTCTGTGTCTTCTGCCACTCAGTTATGTATACCTACAGAGGATATGTTAAATTCTTTCTAAATCCTCTTCGTCATCACATAGACGCCAGTAATCCTCTCCGTTGGTGTCCCATTTTAAAATGAGAGATCTGATCCTGCAGTGACCTGTTATGATCCCCACATGGGACAACAGCGAAGAAGTTATTTGTCGAGAGAATTCTGGCAGATTCCCTGCAGTAAACGCCTGCACCAGTACTTTCCTCCATCTTTGACCCATCTGTGAAAAACGACAGACCTGGCAGAGGTATGAAGCCACTAGTACAGGATTCCCTACTAGGAAACTCTGCTTTGATGTTATTAAAGTCTCTTTGAGAGGGAACATAGTCAATAATGTGAGTATTTCTCCTCAAGAAATCACAATCTGCCGTTATGTTGAGGATACTAGCATGACCAATGTTTAGCGACTTCCAGGCATCCGTTCCTCGGAATCTCAGATCACATCCAGCAGCCTAGAATTTAATCAGAGAGTCCGGTGGTTGGATGTTCAAGATTATATTCAAGGAAGCCTGTGGTATGCTTCTTAGCGCTCCGGTTGTCACCTGTATATTTTACAAGGCATCCATATGTAAGAATGGAGTGTACGACCGTCACATATAGCCTCTAACCTAACTCTATCCTATAGAGTTTTTGCAAGAATAGAGTGCTATTAGTCCTTTCTCAGTGGGTTCCTCAACATTCCTATTCCACGTTAATTTGTTGAAGCCTACATATGCCATGCTTTGGAGGTGTATCATTCAGATTAGGGAAAAATTGGGTTGAGCGCATGAAAAATAAAACCATTTTTAATGACAAATATTCACATTTTCATTATTAGGCCAGAAGCATATATAGTAGCCCGCTCTCATATAGCTCTCATATATAACAATATCTTCAGATTTTGTTAAACTTGAACTGCAAGGTTATAATTCCATATATAACTTTTATTTTCAAAAAATACATTTTTTAAAATAAACTTCATTAAAAACAATAATTTTCACACTGTACGTACAAATATATAAAATTATTAATTTGTTGCTCGCCTTTCAAAATCACTGAAAAACTGAATGCTGTTGTTACGACATTAATGACCGATATTTTGTCAGATATTTCCGCATTTGTTTTCAAAGCTATAAAAAATGTCAAGATTTGAACAAATTGATAAGAATCAGTTGGCGGTCGTGCGTACACGTATTGTGTATTGTTACGGAGTGAGTACGCTACGTCTGTCTGTATGTATATATTCATGGTTGTATGACACATGACAGCAGAACGAACGTTTGGATCTCTGGCCGGGTTGGGCTGTGTTGATCGGTTGGCTGCTGAGCTGTTGTTGATTTGGTTCGTTCGAAGTCAATAGAATCGAATCGGAAGGCATTGAAAATTAACAACGACGACGCCAAGCTCGTTGTTCACTGTTCAGGCGAACATTGAAATGAAAACATAACAGCGAATAAACACACGCAGAATGAATGAAGTAATGTATGGATGAAGTAAGGAACGAATCGAGAGCAAAACAAAACCGAGAAAAATACAAAAATTACTTTGCATACAAAAGATACTGGATGTTGTTGTTACTGCTGCCACTGCTGATAAAGAAGGTGATGATTGTCATATTAAAGGGAAAGACATGAAATGAAAGAGAGATGAATATCACAAAGTGGATGTTCAATACAAATGTAAACAAACTTAGGAAAATACAAAAGCCGAACAACAATGGAATTTCCGGTTAAAATTACTTTCAAATAAAAAATGTTATTGACCCAATGTCACAATAAAATTGTAGATTAATTTGTTGGTCATCTTCCCTGTCACATGTTTACATTTTAATTCGATCAGGATAAGTTAACTCAGATCGATTCTGATGTATAAGAATGGGTATTAGTAAGATCCAAACGTAACCGATTACATTTACCAATGTTTAAATACTTTAGTTGAGGAATTTAAAAAAATACATTAAATAGTTAAATCTTGGGAAACAAAGAACAATTAT